TACGTACGAGTGAGACGAAGATGTCAACATGCTAGCGTGAAACTACAGTTCCAATTTGAGTATGCTAATGACATGACGCTCACGACTAGCTCAGCATGTTCGTGCACCGGCAGCTCAGCTCATCAGGGAAACTTGACGTGCTGTGCTGAGGCTCCGAACCTTCAAAGCTGTATCCCAATGGCTGGGCGCAAAGGACCAAAGCAGCATCTCCAATTCTTGACGCCTCTGCTGGGCACAGCTCCAGGTACGGCTCCACCGCTTTATCGAGGCGACGCGAAAAATCTGCACGAAAACGAGTTCATTTTGCCCTCGAGTCGCCAGATTTCAGTGAGCTCGTTGTTCCCCTTGCTGGTGCACTTCAGGAACCCTCCAGAGCCTGAAGGCACTCAGTTTCTGGAGCGACCATCTTCCAACCTCAGTTCCCACCGTCTCCCAGCATGCGAAACAGACTCTCGTCCCATCCCAGGTCTCCAACGGTCCAAGGGAAATGGAACACCGAAGAATCCGTACGCGGGTGAGGTGGTCTGATCGGGCGCAAACACGCCGTGTAACGGGTGTGAAACACCATGTTTGGCAAGATGAGCGGGAAGACGATCCAAGACGAATTCTGAGCTACTAGGAGCAAAGGGCATCTCTACTAGGAGCAAGGACGCTACTAGGGGCGACCCGAGTCAAGAACCATCACTCCTTCAAGGTTGTTACACGCCCTCCATCCATCCTCTAAGCACTATGACCTCGTCCATCAAGGCTATCTCCCTCTTCTCCAGCACAGTAAAGCTTCACGCCACATTCGCCGAATCCTGTGTCTTGAACTCGCAGAGCTTGGAATCTGGGCACAAGCCCTGGCAGTCGGTGAACGATCGCGGAGTCAGAAACAGTCGGGCAAAAGGCAGGGTTTCTGAGTACAGCTTGGTGAATGGGAGAGCAAGCTCACATCACATGATCTCACAGAAAGGTACCTATCCCTCCCGCTGCAGACATCTACTGAAACTTGTACATACTTGTTTGCGAAGCGGAGGCGAGGGCGAGGAACACACGACCTAAAGCCTGGAGGAGATCTGGGTTCACAAGTCTGCACCAAAGAACGCCCACAAAAACACCTCCTGCGATTACAATCTCAAATCAAATTATGACGCATGACTGCCCAAACATCGGGCCGTGGCATGTACAGTCCGCAATATCAACTCACAACTTACAATAATTATCTAACTGCCAGTCCATTTTGACGTGTCAAAAGAGAACTCAGCGCAGGTGTCGGACGTGTTGCGGATTTTCTGCGGACCACTGTTGGGCGAACCCAAAGGCCTCCAGCAAGTCGTCACTGACCACCTTGACCCACCCCGAAGCAAAAATTGCAACATCTAATTGCAAAAGCGCGGGCATCTATAGTGGACATAAATGTGTGATAGTATTTGATCAAATTGGCATATCATGGCTAGAGAGAATCGGGGACTTTCTCTCTCTCTCTCTCTCTCGCTCTCCCTCTCTCTCTCTCTCTCTCTATAGATGCAAATGTGTGTATATATATATATATCTGTGTGTGTCTTTCAGCATATACATTAACAAGCAGTAACTCGAACAAGCCGGGAGCCCTACCACTGTGGCAAATCCTCAAGCAATGCTTGCAGTGCTGTGTGGGTCGAGCTCACCTGCGGTGAGAATTCACAAAGCTGGGGTGGGAAGAGAGGGTGACGATGTCTGCAGATTCTGTTGGTACTGTCGACATATATACATATATATATATGTATAATTACTGTATAAATATATACATACTGCTGGTACTCAGATTCTGTTGGTAAACTCAGATTCTTATGTTAGTACGTTCTGGTATTCCGAGTGTTCTTCCCAGAAGACAAGCAGCAGCCTGAATAAGTACCAGGATAACACATGATTTTGTAGAGTTCATTCTGACATCACCCATGCTCAACCAAACGTGCCAGCCCTTGACTCAGTACGCCTTGACATGTTCAAGCCAAACAAAAACACGCGACATCTTGAGATGTGTGGAGGAAGGAGGATGCTTTCGACTGCAGTCTGCGTCTGCAAATGTATTGTAGTTGATGTAGTCTGAGGTATCAGTGATCCTACCCATGACCTTCCTTACTAATGACCTTCCTCCTACCCACCTGTGTCACACCACTAAGGTAACAAGACGCCAAACAACAAATTGTCCAGGTGAGCGCCCCTTTTTCACGGTCGATGGTAGGTCGGCGAGCGGGGAGGCCACCTGTCGGACCAGAGAGGCCACAGAAACTGTCCGCAAGTCCATCCGTTCTTCTTATTGTGATTTCTTCTTATTTAATCTTATTTATCTTTATTAGGTGCCTTAATGTGTATTTTTTGTATTGTTCTTCTTTATTGCCTTCTTCTTCTTCTTCTTCTTCTTCTTCTTCTTCTTCTTCGTCCTCTTCCATCCCTTTGGTTGTTTGTCTTCTTCTTCTTGTTGTTCTTTGTCTGCATTCGTATTTGGTGTCAGGAGACCCCGCGCAAGCACCCGAAACTTTTGCATACTTTTGCTGAGGGCAGGATCCGAGACTGTGAGCATTGCAAATTGGTCAAAAATGTCAAAATAATGTGTCCACAAAAAAGGTTGCTTGGGGGATGCTTTTTTCAAACCGGCATGATGCCTCCGAAATCAGAGGTCACCTAGATACGATCCCCTTAAAAGTGTTTGCTTGCTCAATCCAAACTTTAAAAAACAACCGGTTCGAGTGTCGGTAGAAACGAGCAGTCGGCTCTGACTGGAATGAAGTGAAGAATCGAGAAGTGCCATAGCACCTAGAAGGACTTTACCAATTTGGAGCGAGCACTCCAGCTCTGTTGATGTGCTCCGCTACCGCTAGTGGTGAGGAAAGAACTCCGAAGAGCTCGAAGCCCGGTAGCTTTTCATAAACGGTCTTGCCAGCCTCAAGCCTGGTTGATGGACTGGAAGCAGGACTGGCCTCAGTTCATGTCTTCTCCTGAAAACCACGCGATCAATGCATCCATCCGTCACCGCAATCGTTTCTCCCGAAGAAAATTCCGGTTGGAAGCGGTGACGACGTGAGCATGGAGAATGCTCGAAGGCTCTGCCGAAGGGCTGGTGAAGCAGGGAGCTGGGCGGTTGGAAGCGGAAGACTGGTTGGCCTCGGAGGGCGGCCGCTTTTCACATTAACAGTTCGGAGATGTCGATTCACCAAACAGCTCTTCCGTCGACATACACATGAAAACAATGGACTCTACGCTCTTGGAATTCAAGGGCATCACAACAATCTCAGGCCTCTTTCGTTGAGTAATAGCTGTCGCGTGCTCGCCCTAACCAATCACATAGCCGTCGTTGCCAAATTGTGCAGTAAATGAGGTAAACAAGTGGCAACTCCCCACCGCATTGGACGGCGCAACTGACGGTCAGGTGCTCTTTCCAACTATAGGCACTCGAACGGCAAGGAAGGCCCCAGAGTGCTTACCCGAAGGACAAGATGATCTCGAATCCCATGCTCCACCCATCAACCCCATTGACACCCCACTGCTACCCTAGCAGTGTGACGTGAGCCTCCAAGACAACTTTTCACCGACCTCTCCCGTCCCCGCCTTCCACCCAGGCGCAGCCCTGGATCGGCTCCGGCGACCAGGTCGGAGCCCACGGGGTGGAGGACCTCCAAAGGGTCAGACTGGCGAGGTCGGACATCAACTCAAGCTCCCGGCAGCTGGGGGACACCCTGCGGGGTCCTTTTTCTTGCTTCTTCTGGGAGACTGGAAAGCTACCGTTGGTGTCACCAGCAGATTGCGGGTTCAAACTCTCTAAAACAGTCTCTCATCTATATACTCAACGCCTTCAAAACATCGCCTGTGCTGCAGAACGCCCTATTCAAACGTCTGCCTGAAGGGTGCGCTCAAGGTCGGAGGCTCTGGCGCCGGCTCGTGGCTCTCAAGGCGGGGCTCCTCACACGTTCCATTTTCAAGCGCTACAGCACCCCTCAGTCTCTTCACCCCGAAATCTGTGCAAATTCACTACCACCGTCAAGCCTGGGCACTCTTCGACCATCTCGGGTGGTGCAGCCGCTCGTGCAAAAACCCGCTACGAGCTCCAAAATTGGGCCATACAAAGTGGCCACGTTTGCCCTTCGCCCTTGTCCGTGCAGTATGACAGCTCATGGCACAGCAAGCGCCACGAATGCCCTCCCTTGGCTCCTCTTTCCCCACAACTTCAGCACGTTGGAGTTCTGATCTGGCATGGCCTGGCGCAGGGTCTGACCCCTTCAGAATCCCATGTAAATGAAAGCCTGGGATGATCTGGGATGTGGTTTCATGAAGGTGGAGAAGATTGTGTAAGATTGGAAGGAAAATCTACGATCGATCTCAGAGAAGGCTCCTTCGGTCCCGAGGCCTTGTGTTTTCTCCCTTCCCACACCCGACGTCTCCCTCCCAGGCATCTCCACGTGTCGCCTCCAATCACAGGCACCGAGGCGACAATGGACTCAGGCCTGCCAACACGCCCACTCCACACTACGTCGCTGCGAGACCGGCGAGCACGCATCGTCTTCCGACATGCCCCAAAAAAAGATAGGCCCAAATATAGCGATGTATCCAAGAGGCAAACAAAGAACAAAAACTCCCAAGCCCCAAGAGCTTCCGATTCTTAGAGTTCTACTCAGCTTCCGATTCCTAGAGTCGCCTGCTCCCTCGCCTGTGTCGCGAGCTTGGGCTGCAACATCGCGTGGCACCCAGATGGCCCAAGTGGCTCATGGTCTCGCTGACGGTCGAGGAGACCTTTTCACGCAAAACGACGGACGCCTACCATGTCTACCACGGTGATGAGGTGAGGGAGACAAAAACACTTGCTGGCAACTGGATTTGATCTATCATAATTTCCACTTGATCGGTGTTGTCGGCATAGGGATGCCTACACTAGTCCGGGCGCCGGCCACGGGCCCGTGTCCTTGCCGGAGGCCTTCGGTTGGTAACCGAAGGTTATATACGCTCGCCGCCCCTGCCGCCGACTCCCTCCGCCCGACCCCCGCCCGAATCCGGTCGACAGATGTATATGTAATGTATATGTATCTTGCGCTGGATGTTCGAAAAATGTTCAAAAACATCGTTTTTTTACAGTGTTTCGTGGCCTTCGGCGTCCACGACAGGGTGCCCGTGGTGTCAGTTATGCGTGTCGCGCGGACAGGCTTAATCGACATTTCGTGGGCGTCGGGCACGTGCTAAGAGCAAAGGCGGAACATGTGCTCTAAGATGATCTGACAGAGGCCTTCAAGAGGACTTAACATAGGTCTCAGATATGGCCCACATAGCCCCAAGATGGGCGAAGATTGCCTCAAGATGTGGCAACATAGGCCCCACACATTTTCACAAAGCCGCAAGATGACCCTACCTAGCTCTCAGATATGGGAAACATAGCCCCAAGACGGGCGAAGATTGCCTCAAGATGTGGCAACATAGGCCCCACACAGTCTCAAAAAAAAAAAAGAGAGAGAGAGAGAGAGACAGCGAAGATGACCCTCCCTAGCTCTCAGATATGGGAAACCTAGCCCCAAGACGGGCCACGCCTCAAGATGTGGCAACATAGGCCCCACACAGTCTCAAAAAAAAAAAGAGAGAGAGAGAGAGAGAGACAGAGACAGCGAAGATGACCCTCCCTAGCTCTCAGATATGGGAAACCTAGCTCCAAGACGGGCCACATAGGCCCCACAAAGTCTCAAAAAGAAAGAGAGAGAGAGAGAGAGAGAGACAAAGAGAAAGAGAGAGAGAGAGAGAGAGAGACAGAGACAGCGAAGACAGATACAGAGAAGACCGAGACAGAGACAGAGAAGACAGAGACAGAGACAGAGATAGAGACAGAGATAGAGACAGACAGAGAGAGGGGAGGGAGAGAGGAGAGAGAGAGAGAGAGATGGCAGGAAATGTGCAAGACGGCTCTCCCGACTTCGGCGTATACTCGATATACGCCCGGGCGGTCAGCCTCCTTCGCGAGAAGGATGCTACCGGGACGCCCGAAGTCCCGGTCCCCGTCTTGCACAGGGAGGGGTTGTTCGGGCCCCCACCGACGGAAGATGTAGACGATGTGCACCTGGCGAGAACGAACTCGCAGACACTGCTGTCTGCACGCACCGCGCATCCGGCGAGAACGAACTCACAGACACACCGCGCGTCCAGCGCTCGCTGAGCGGTCCTTTTTGGCTGCTACGGCCTGGTTGTTGTCGTGAAGTTGGCCGCGTGAGCGATGCTCTGGCGGAGGCTCGAGCGAAGGCGCAAACGCGCCAAGGATTGTGCGACTGGACGCGCACAGCGTCTAGGCTCTCGACGGTGGTGCGATGGAGGGGGTTGGTGATTAGACGGTTGTTGCCACCGCTTGTTAGGTCATGAGAGACTTGAAATGACATACCCACATACCCACGTCGAAATCGTGAGAGGGCATTGAGAAGGATGTGCTGGATGTGGCACAGTATTTGCAATGCGACTCTGACAGAGTAGTCATGTGCTGGCAGATGGTCCAACCGAACCTTTGGCTCCACAAGCCCACGAAAACGAAGCCATGGCCGAGGCCGTTCGGGAGCAAACGATCGAAACCCTGCTCTGCACTTGGTTTTTGACAATGGAATTTCGATTAAGTGGGCGGAGTATGGTATTTGCCGGGCATGAGCGATGCTCTTGCGGAGTACGCGCCAAGGATCTGCGCGGTTGGAAGCACGCCGCGTTCGACTGCTTCTTTGGCTAGGTGTCTGCATAGCCACATTGGGGGTGACTACCAAATGGAATTGCTATGAAGTGGGCGGACTATGGTTTTGCCGGGTATGAGCGATGATCTTGCGGACTTGGCTGCAGCGGCTGCGCGGTGCGCTGGCTCTCGGGTATAGGGGGTGAGATGGTGCTGCCCATGGTGGTTCTGTGCACCAGGCTTTTGCCTACGGAGTGTCTAGAATGGAACTTTTATTAAGTGGGCGGACTATGGTTTTTGTCGGGCATGAGCGATGCTCTTGCGGACTTGGCTACAGCGGCTGCGCGATGCGCTGGCTCTCGGGTAGGGGGTGAGATGGAGCTGCCCAGGGTGGTTCTGTGCATGAAGCCTTTGATATGGAATTTCTATCTGATGTGGACTGCGTATGTTGCACGTCACAGCTTGCGCACGCTGCTTGCATGGCATAGGCTTCTACACTGTGCGACGCTTCTTCCGTGGCACGCCACGCTGAGTCTTGTCGCGGCAGTCTGCACAGATCCAATGTGCCAAAACGTCAACATGGTAGCGACTTTCTTTTGGCCGTGGCCGACCGCACTGGTCGCACGGGGGATAGTGTCGCAGCGATTGGCACTCGCTACACATCCAAGTTGGTAAAACTTTGACATGGTAGCCGCTTTTTTGTGGTCGTGGCTGACCACAAGCATCACACGGCGGATAGCTGCACTGCATACACAAGGTATCTGCTATGGCGTGGGAGTCTAGCGACTGACCACACTGACTGCATGACTTCACTGTGCACTCTGCGCAGCTCCAAGTTGGTAAATCTTTGACATGGTAGCCACTTTTTCGTGGTCGTGGTCGACCACACACTGGGCAAGGGGGATAGGCACATGCGGCACACCATGTGTCAGTGTTGTTGTCGGCGGTGTAGTTGGAAAGGTTGGGAACGGTAACCACTTGCTCACACTGAACACAGCGGCCTGTCTTGCCTTGGCATTCCGGACAATGCCAAATAGGATGTTTCTTGGCGTGGAGTCGCCTTTTGCCTACTTGAGGGCGTGGTTTTCCACATCCGCCCGTGCAAGGAGGGTATGCACAGGGTTTGCACCACGTACCTGGAGTTTGACTTGCCTTCAATGGCTGGCCACAGTTTGCGCAGGTCTTGGACGCCCGCGCTTGGTTGGCGACACAAGCGCGACACAGGCCCGTTTGCGACGCAGCAGTATAGTGCGTGAGATGCGACACACTCACAGTCTTATTGCACTCTCTGCACAAACCTTGTTTGGAGGTGGCTGCGACAGGGGTGGTAGCACACTTTTTGCAGCGAACGCGTCGCAGTTCTTTAGTTTTTTTTGCGTCTGACTTCTTCCGGGTCGAAGTCTGTCAAGCGTTTCGTTTTGATTTTCTTGCCTTGGTCACATCGGCTGCAGGCTAAACGTTCTGTTTTGACACACTCCGAACAATAGCCAGTTTTGTTGGCCGGTCTGGCTTCAGGGCAATATGGACAAGGATGCATTGCTTCAGGGTGACTGGGTGGTTGTGTTCCGCTCTGCTTAGCTTTGCATTGGAGACATAGGCGACACATGCCTTCGGATAAGACTTGGTACCATTCGTCCTGGTCCCATGCTGTGACAAATTCTCGCAGAGGCAGTATCTTCTCTTGTCGATGTGGCTGTGGGCTGCAGCCGCGGCAAAACAACATGATGTCACGATTTCTTTTCTTGCTTGGTTTGTCTTGACTAAATCGAGCTTTTGCTTCTTGTGGCGTGAGCTTGCCGCGATGAACTTCTAGAAAAGTGTGTGGGCCTATCAATTCCCCATTGGTGAACAAGTTGGGGGAAAAGGGTTGGGCTATACACAAGTCTTCGGCTTTTCGAACTCGGGACAAGCACATGTAGCCGCTCAGTTGAGCCTCGCGGGACGCGGTGGAATCCCAGTGGCCGAGATCAAGCGTGCAGGCTTCTAGGGTGGAGCCCATGAAGGAATGTGCGGTCCCGGCAAAATCGCAGGCTAGAGGAAAACCTCGTCGAGAAACTGTGGCTTTACCGTTGGTTTCCAGGGACCATGTTTGTGTCACTGCTTCTAAGCGGGCAACTCCTGGTGGCAGTTGTGTATGTTGTTGCCACGTTTGCCCGGGGACGTGGACGTACAGAGCTAGAGGCATTTTTTGAAG